AATCAAGTTTTCGGCATTTCTTTCTGTCCCCGATGTTCGAGTCTGAATTTAATGATTTATTCTCTGCGTTGTGGAAGTAATCTGTGACAAATATTTCCTTTGCAATCCCAGATCGTTTACAAGTTATTTCGGCACTATGACAAACAGGACATTTGACATCAAGTTGATACCCAAGTTTGATGGTTCAGTGACCGGACAAGCAGTTACTTAATGGATTGTGTGGAATTAAAAAAGGTTGAATGCGTTCTTCCTTTGAGGTTGACGGGTGGAGCATTTACTGTTTACCAGCAGTTAAACTCTGAACAAAAATCAGATGTCGAGCAGATAAAACGAGCCCTGCAGATTGCCTTTGCACCTGATCGTACTTGGCTTACAAGTAGTTCGCGGAACGCTGACTACGCCCGGACGAATCTGTCGATGAGTTTCTAGCCGACTTGAAAAAGCTAGCTGGTCTATTTGGCGGGATATCCGAAGGACCAGCATGTGGCTTCATAGCAGGTTACCAACATGTGTCAAGCAACTACTGAACGTGTCTTCCAGGATGGAAGACATGAATACAAACCAACTGTTGGACTGAGCTCGGGCCATAATGAAAGATCAAATTGCAACTGAGGAAATGGTTGCGGCTACCATTTCACCAGGCGGAGCTGATAAACATCCAAATGTTAAACATTGAGAGGGTATGTGATGTTATCGCTGCTCTGGGTGGAATCACTTTTCCAGGGACTGCCCGGTTCGACAAGAAGATGCCCATCAGCCACGCACAACAATGCGTTGCTTCCAGTGTCAAGAAGTAGGCCACATTGCTTCATTGTGTCCGGGAAAAAGAGGAAGGGGACAAGATGTCATCGCTGGTCTCTTCCCTAAGTGAGTTATGAATGAGGCGCTACCTGTCTTGGGTATTTATGTGAACGGAATTAAGAGAGTGGCACTGGTGGACACTGGCTGCTCACAGACACTCGTGAGTAAGTCAGTCTGTCAATTCTGGTGGGTGATGGAGATGAATGTATTCACTGTAAATGGAAATATTCTCAAATGTTGCAGAGTTGGAAGTATTAAGCTTCATGTAGACAATGCAAACCCCCTCAAAATTAAAGTCTTAGTAGTGGATGGAGAGCTATTGGGTTTTGACTTGTTGCTTGGATTTGATAACATTAAAAAGTTGGGTGGGCTCCAAATAACAGAGTGTGGCGATGTAAGGTTTCCCAAGTGTGGAATAGTCTGTTGCGCCACTATTAAAATAAAAGAACCTGATTTCAGTGCTGAATTCGACCCAAACCAAAAGATATGGGTCGCATCATGGAAGTGGTCTGATGGTCGATCACCGGAGAGTTTGTGAAATCGGATGCCTGAGTACCCAATACCAACGGGAGTCAAGGAGGAATACGACTGTGAGCTGCAGATCTGGCTTGATAACGGTTGGTTGCAGCCTTATCCTGAAAAGGAACTTGGTCCTCCAAAAGGTTTATTCCATTGATGGCGGTAGTGCAGAAAAACAAAAATAAAGTGTGGCCAGTATTAGACTATTATGAGCTGAATGAGTGTCTCGATGCACACGTAGCCAATGCTGACGTGCGCGCACAGAAACTGAGGGAGTGGCGTAAAAAAGGACAGGATGTTGCTAACCTTGATCTACGGCAGGCCTATCTACAAGTACATATCCATGTCACTTTGGCCCTTTCAAACTGTAATCTTCAAGGGGTGAAGATATTGCTTGACCCGAATGGGTTTTGGGTTGAATGTTGCACCAGTCATAATGAAGGTCATTGTGGATGCCACGTTGTCAAAAGATGAGTCAGTTCAACAGGCAACCTCATCATATATTGATTTATGTTGACAAGAGCATGATTTCAGCAGCTCGCGTGAAGGGGCACTTGGCTGTGTTTGGTTTGACCTGCAAGGATCCGGAGCGGTTACGGGACGGCACACGTGTGCTGGGTTTGCATGTCGAGCAAGATAACAACACGCTTAAGTGGAAACATGAAAATGGCATTCCATCAGTTCCTGAGGTCCTGACGCAATGTAACATCTAATGGTGTGGAAAACTGGTGGGTCATGTTTCTGTGTGTGGGTGGCTCCGTGTTGCTGCATCATTTGTAAAAGGCAGAACAGTATCAATCACGTCTGGCTGGGACAACGAAGTGACAGATGCTCCCCTTAAGAACATGATTGCCGAAATAGCGGAAAGAATACGCCAGAATGACCCTGCACATGGTAAGTGGTGCACAAGCGGACATGCTTATGAGGTATGGGTCGATGCAAGTTCTCTCGCCACAGGGGTTTCGTTGGAGGTTGATGATAGCGTTGTAGAAGACGCATGTTGGCTGTGGCCTGCGAAGGACGCCCAACATATCAATTTATCAGAATTGGATGCTATTCTGAAGTGTGTCAATTTAGCACTACAGTGGGGCACAATGGAGCTACACTTCTTCACGGACTCTGCATGTGTGCACTGGTGAGTATCAAACATGCTCACTGGCAAAGCCAGAATACGAACTAAGGCGGCAAGTGAGATGCTTTTCCGGAGGCTTTTGAGTACTCTTGAAAATCTGATTCAAGATTATAAGTTATTGATCACGATAAGTTTAGTAACATTGAGTGAGAATCAAGCGGATAAGCTCACCAGAGTACCGCAACGATGGTATGATGTGATCAAGAAGGAAATCAAACCAACACACCCGATATGCGCTTCCATGGTGAATGAAACCTCTCCTGATCATATACTGCCAGACAGGACATCCTGGCATCAGGCGAATGCTGTATTTTGTGAGATAAGTCTACCCTATGACATCCAAGGTGGCCGTCAAAGCAGTAGCAAGGCAGTAGTCAAAAAATGTAAAGAATGCCAGTCAATTGACCCAGCCTCAAGTCGTTGGCTTTGTGGCAACCTAAGTGTGATTGAAATCTGGACTCGCTTAGGAATGGATATTATGCATTACAGTGGGCAAAACTACCTTACGTTAATTGATTGCGGCCATAGTCAATTTGCGATATAGCGACGCCTGCTTCAACAAGACTCAAGAAGCATCATTTGACAGTTGGAAAGTATTTTTTTGAACAAGGCATACCATCAGAAATCCTGACCAACAATGACACTGCATTTTGCAGTAAGTTCTTTAAAGATTTCTTGGATGACTGCGGAGTCCAACTTCGTTTTCGCTGTGCCTATATTCCTGCAGGAAACGGTATAGTGGAAAGATCCCTCGGAGTATAAAGCGAATTGCAGCAAGAAAGCAGTGTTCAATAATGGAGGCAGTATACTGGCATAATATCACACCGAAGGATGATATATCGTCGACTAATGCGCCTGCCAATATGATTCACTGTTACCAACTGAAAGTGAAGGGAATTAGTACAACATTACCACCTGATCATTGTAGGTATCACAATATATACAAAGTTGGGAACGGAGTATGGGTGAAAGTTCCCCATGGCTGGTGTACCTCCAGGTATCAAGTGGGGTCGTGTGACGTACATTTTAAGTCCACAAATAATAATAGTTGATGGGATGCCACGGCATGTAAAAGATCTTCACCTTTTCGTTGATTCTGATACATTGCCGAGCGAATCCGATGATGGTTCGTCGTCTGACTGATCGGATAATTGAGATCTGTGAATCTGATGCTTCCACAGACGCTGAGTTTCCGGAAACTCGTGATATGTCTGATGACTCCTCAGGAGACGACTCTCCGACATGCGTAAGAGAGCTGCTCCAATCTGTTTGATTTGTGATAATGATATCAGGGGGGAGTATAGTGAAGAAAACGGTGACCTACCTCGTCAAACCAAGCGATAGCATGTTGCGTGTATCCTACGATGGAAAATGTGGCGAAAAAGAAAATTACTTATCCCCAAAAAAGGGTACATATTCTGCATGACATGCTGAAGACGGAATATTTAAATTAAAAAACAAGTCCGTCGAAGGAGTCGCCATAAAAGTTTTTTGATATGCAAAAATTGAGCGTCCTCTCCCAGCTGTCGATGAATGGAAAAAATGCTCAGCCGATAAAAGCAGTTGGTGTTCTCGAATTGGGGATGAAAAATTCGGGTATTTTGGCTACCGCACTTGTTTGAGAGTGAGTTATTTTTCTGACTGGTTGCGTGCATTGTGAGATAGTACCTGCGAATCGAGTTTTCAGCATTTCTTTCTGTCCCTTGATGTTCGTGTCTGAATTTAGTGATTTATTCTCTGCGTTGTGGAAGTAATCTGCAACAAATATTTCCTTTGCATTCCCAGATCACTTACAATTACAATAACAATGAATGCAGGTCATTATTTAAAGAAGTAAGAGGGTACAAAAAACTTGAAATTGACAAAGTTTTACCATTTCATTGAAGCCGACTATAAACATATAACTGTTATTGCTTCCTATAACTTTTCTTTCTTTTTCTCACTGAAACAAAACACAGCCTCTGATATGTCTTTTCTGTCTTTCCTCTGATTAAAACAGAATAATCCATTAATTATGAGGACATAAAATATAAGCTAAGTAAATAAGGAACATTCAGAATTATAATATAAAAATATGGATACTATATGATTATTTTTTTCTGCAATCCATAAGATTTCATGTTTTTCTTCAAACTGCATACAAAAATTGTAGAATAAACAAAAAACAAAGAATGTTGTGTATGAAACCTTACACAGCTAGTTAATATTTAGTGTCAAACATATTACAACACAAACATGCAGGTTTCGGTTACTTTATAAATATCAGTATGACGTTAAAAAAACAAAATTGAAATGAAAGAAAATTACAAAGTGCAACAGATGCATATATTCAGAAATAAAAAGCAAACCAATATTGTATTTAAAAATTTAGTATTTCAGATGAGCTTAGTGCAGATCAGAAAGGTTCAGTGAAACAAAGTGTTTTCTAAATTGGTCTAAACATTTTTATACTGTTTGTAGAGAAGTCTGTAGATATTTGTTGAATTGAGTCAACTTTGGCTACTACATGGCTTAAAATATTTAATATTAAAAATTACATATTGCTTACATGATGTCTTTCCTCATCACTATCCACTCTGGAGTGTATCCATTATTAATAAGGATCTTGTTGAGGTTGTGTGTAGTGATATCCAGCATAGGGTTGTGGTTTGAGAAAGACAATGATTTACCAGAACCAGATAGATTGTGGAACTCTCCTTTTGAAATGGCTTCTTGAATGAGATCCTCTACAACACGGTCAATGGCACTGCTAAAATAATTTAAGAAAAAAATAGAGAGAGAAGCATCAGTGTCTGATATTTACTGACATTACTTTTAGCAGAACACTTATAATATAGAAACAAATAAATTTTGTCATGGAATTAAAATCTGTATCTGATTTATAGTAGATATATATTAAAGATATGAAGATAATATTTATTAAATATATTTGTTGGCAAATCATTAAGGTGCCTTATTTGTTAAAGTTTTAATAAATTCAGCTGAAGAAGGAATAAAATTTTAGTTTTGTTAACATATATCCTACAAACATAAAGAGAGAGAAGGTTGATGATTATCTCTTAATTTTATAATTTTTTAAAGACTATTCTCATGGTTTCTAGTTGTGATAAAGAAAAATAATGTTCTAAATGTTGCTCTTTTATATTATTTTGCAGATAAATAACAAAAACTATGAATTGCATCTTAAATTCAACCTATAATTTTTATAGACTATTTCTTTGGAAATTCAGAGGAAAGTGTTACAATGATGCATGAAGAATTGCTGAAAATAAAGTCTTTCTAAAATGAAAAATAAAATAGTCTGATGTTTGCCGATTTAGTCAGATTTTGGGAAGTGGGTTGAGCCAAGGACTTTTCAGCACCCCTTTGTATGAATCATGATGACACAATAATTCCACAACATTTATTTGGAGCAAGCAATAGGACCTCTCAAAAACAGATTGGATTTAAGACAAGTATTGCATTTATATGAGCCTTCTTGGACTAACGTTCTCAGCTAACATGAAGTGGAAAGACTATATTGAATACATTGCAAGGTAATCTGCTAAGAAAGTTAGTTCACTGTGCCATGCAAGACAATTTTTCTTTCCAGAATCTATTTTACATATCTATAAGTCTACCATTTGTCCATGCTTAGAATATTGCTGTCACATATGGTCTGGTGTCCCTCCTTGATAAAATCCAAAGAAGAATCAACAATATTATTGGTCCTGACCTGGTGGCTTGGATTCAGTCACTTTCTCACCACCATATGGTTGCCACTTTGTGTCATTTCTATAAATACTTTCATGGTAATTGTTCAGATGAGCTGTTTGCTATGGTACCTATTTTTTCAATTTAAGCACAGTACTAGACTGGCTTCAAGAACTCATCAATTTAGAGTTAAGCTGGCTCGATGTAGCTTTAAGTTCTATGCTAACAGTTTCTTTTCTCACACTGCTTGCTGTGGAACTCCCTTCCAGATCCATGCTTTTCAGCCAACTTCAATCTGCAAAAATTTAAATGCAATGTCAATCACTATCTACTGTCCTCCTGATTACTCTTTTCTCTTTCCACTCATTATTAATGTTTCTATTTCTAATTCTTCCACACCCTGTATCCCCCTGTGTCTTAGTGGCTTTACTGCATGGGGTGGTAAAAATTAAAAAAATATATATGTATATGGCTAACAAATCATTATTGATCAGGTAAAAAGTTAATTTCAAGGAAATAATTTTTCTAATGAATCTCAAATTTGTCTTTTTGGTTATTAATTCTACTTATTGCTATTAAATAACATTAGTTCTAATATATATATTTTTCATTGACCTGACAAAATCCTTTGACATTATCAACAGGAAGTCTTTTTTAACTGTCTTTGAGTGCATCAGATGCCCACAGAGTTTTGAAAAGATCATCCAACTCTTTCATGATGGTATGATTAGTCAGATTCTCTCAAATGGCCACATGATAGAGCTTTTTAAAATCAGCAATGGTGTGAAATAAAACTGTGTCCTACCTCAGTCCTCTTCAACATCTTCTTCATGTGCATGCTGTCTCATACAAATCAAGCTCTAGTGGAAGGGGTCTATATTCAATATCATCTGGACACTTCCCTTTTTGACATTCATCATCTCAGTGCTGAACCTAATTTATCATCTCCTCCAGGAGGTCCTCTCTTCACTGACGATTGTACATCACAGGGAAATTCAAACTGCAGCTGATAGTTGATTGATTCTCCATGTTTTCAAAATTGTTTAGCCTGATAATCAGTCTTGACAAAATTCAGTTTTGCCAAGACTGATTATCAGGCTTTATGAATCTGCACCAAACACCAACCCGTTTGTACTATCCATGACCATAGAAGACACCCAGCTTGCAAACACTTATACCTTCAAGTACCTGCGTAAAATGATCTCCCAGGATGCTTCTCTGGATAAAGAATTTTACACTCAAGTCAGCCAAGCAAGTCAGGTACTGGGGAGTGTAGTGAAAGAGATAATCAGTTACCCTGAAAAAAAGTTTGTGTTTTGTGTGTGATCTGCCGAAGAAAAATTACCAAAAAGTAGTTAGCAAAAATCTACATCAATGACTAGAAGCTATGCTAATGTTCTTCTCTCCCCTGAATGGCGTGATCAATCAGAAAATTCTCTTGGTGAACAGAAGTTGTCGTTTTTTGCTTATAAAAGGAGATAATTTTTTTGAGCTTGGTGGAACGAACACGCGTTGTTGTTGGTGAGAAGTGAAAGTTGGATGTGTGACCCCATTTTGTCGTTTGTACATTGTGTGTTGGACTGTTATGTCGGACTATCATTTGAACTGCGATTTGGCTACAAGTGTTGTGGCCGAGAAACAGAAGAAATCTATTGCAGTTGCTACTATCAGTTGACAGTCTTTTCTTTACTACAACAGGGAGGTTCTGTAACAGTGGGTTCAACTACACAACATATACCTGTCAACAAAACTAAAAGTGTACAATAGTTCTCCCTTCTACAGATGCAAAACATGGAACTTGTATTGCAGACACATCAAGTTGGAAAAGTTCTCCATGTGGAGTCTACACGACATACTTGGAACCATGCTGTAGGAACGCATCACCAAACTTGAAATTTTGAACTGTGCAGACTCAACTAGCATAGAATCAATGCTTATCAAGTTACAAGAATGATGAATTGGCCATGTTATCCACATGGAGCAACATCACATTCTCAGCTAATTGCTGTACAGTGAGATTCTAGATGGCAGAAAACATTAACACTGATCAAAGAAATAGTACAAAGATGCAATCAAAACTAATCTTTATTGGTGCAAGATCAGACCAAAGAAGCTAGAAGTGTGCTTCTGACCACCAAGCTTCTGCAAATGTTGAAGAAGCCTGGCAACAAAACTGACTATTCAAATAGAACAGTGCCATTGTGCAACTTTGACATTTTGATCATAACAACCGGCTTCCAGTGTCCCAACTGCTCCAGACTTTGCATGTCCAAAATTTGTTTGCAGAGTCATCTCCAGATCCACTGATGAATTGCAAAACAAGGTCTTCTTTGAACTCAAAGAGCAACAGTTCTAATATGTATATTTCATTAACATTAAAAATATATGAAAATAATAACAAGCCTTACCAACTCTAACCAGAAACTGAATACTTCATTTTGATGTATTTTATATATCTGGATGAATAATTGGCTTAATCCAATTGTTTTTATCAAAGTTAGAGTCTCCCAGGTCTCTATTCTTGGACCTATGTTATCAACAACATTCCCGATGTCATCAGTTCCCAACTAGTTATTTATATTTTAGTAGCAAGTATGATTGATCTGATAAAGTAAAACTGGCAGCTGCTCTTGAAAATTATCTCCAATCAGTGGTTAACTGGGGCAAGGAATGTCTTGTAAATATTAACACTTCCAAAACAAAACTGCTATCATTTAACCACTACAGAGAACCTTTTCTGCCTTCTATCTTTATATCATCTTGGGCTCATGTTTTCCACTAACATGAAGTGGAGTGATTATACTGAATCAATTGTTAGGTCTACTGCTAGGAAAATTTGTTTAGTGTGTCATGTTGGACAATTTTTCTCATCACATTCATAAATCTAACATTTGTTCTTGCACTGAATATATCTGATCTGGTGCTCCTGTTATATATCTTGAGATTCTTAACAAAATCCAAAGGGTCTGCAATGTTATTGGACCAACCTGGCATCTCAACTACAGTCGCTTTTCCACCACGACACAGCTTCCCTCTGTCTTTTCTATATAAATATTTTCATGGCAATTATTTTGATGAGCTTTCCTCTTATATGCCTTGAATGCACAAATTTAAACATATTACTAGATTGGCAACTAGGTCTCACCATTTTACTGTTGAACTAGCTAGATGTAACCATAAGTTCTATTTTAATAGTTTGTTTTCTCTCACTTTTTGTCTGTGGAACTATCTTTTGATTTCTTGCTTCTCTATCACCTACAAGCTTCAACAATTTAAATGCAATGTCAAACATCATCATCTGTTTTCCTGAAATCTGTTCTTTCTTTTATTCTCCTTTCTCCTCACTAAAGTCTTCCCATTCACTTTCAGCAACCCCTTGTATGTTCGTGACATTATCACCTTGCTTGGGGTGAAATAAAATCATATATATATAAAAAGTAAAATTTTAGAATCATCATGCAGTGAAATCTATCTGCAAGTTTAGCAAAGAGTTAAATTCACTTTTTAAAAATCTATTTTGTGTTGGGTTGGGAATGAAACTTCTCAATACTGACTACTGTTAGCTGATTAAATTTCTCATTTTTTCCATTTATGCCAGAATTTATTTGAGGCTAAAGAAGTCAAGTCAGTAACAACTTAGCAACATGATACATCCTAGTTCAAATTATCGTCCACATTTTACTGAATACCTCAAAATGATATAATCCTTATATAACAGATGCAGTACATAGAAATACAAATACAGCCTGAAAAAATTGCAGAAAATTGAACAAAATAACTGCTATATAATTCAAATGGGCATAACTTATGTAAAACATCACAAATTCATTATTATTGCATATAAAAAATAAGATCAATTTTTGTATTACTCATTTTTAAATCCTATAGAAATAATTTTGAAAATTCTTGTTCATTCTGATAGTTATATATTTGTATGACAAACCATCACTAGAATTTTTACTATAAACCTATATATGATCATACATTTTAGCAAAGTTTGTATGTATATCACGTATGTTAATTAACTATAAGGAGCTAAGTTCTGTGTAATTTTTT